AAGAATATATATTCTGTGCTTATTAGATGAAATATTCTGTAGATGTCTGCCAAGTCCAATTGGTCTAAAGTGTGGTTTATATCCTGTGTTTCTCTGTTGATTTTCTGCCTGGATGATCTGTCCAATGTTCACAGAGGGGTGTTTAGGTGCACCACGATTATGGTATTGGGTCTACTTCTTTCTTTAGCTCTAATAGTGTTTGCTTTATATATCTGGCTGCTCTAATGTGGGGTGCATATATACCTATGATTGTTGTGTATTCTTGCTGGGTAGATCCCTTTATCATTATATAGTTACCTTCTTTGTCTCTTTTTATGATTTTTGGTTTAAAGTCTATTTTACCCAATATAAACATAGGTACTCCTTCTCGTTTTTGGTTTCCATTTGCATGGTGTATCTTTTTCCATCCTTTCACCCTTAGTCTGTTTGTGTCCTTACAGGTGAGGTGAGTCCCTTGAAGGCAGCATACTGTTGGCTCTATCTTTTTAATCCAATCAGTCAGTCTGTGTCTTTTAAGTGGGGAATTTAATCCTTTTACGTTAAAAGTTATTATTGACAGGTGTTGATTTACTCTTGGCATTTTATTGATTTTTGTTTGGATGTTTTAAATATCTTTTGTTCCTTATTTCCATTGTATTCTTTGTCTTCTGGGTTTGTTGGTTTCTTGAGGTAGTCAGATAAAGTTCCTTTCTCTTTATTGTTTGTATTTTTGTTCTATTGGTGGATCTTGTTCTTTCTTGTATATTCATGGTAGTGATGGTATTTTTTCAGATGCCAGGTGCAGTATTCCCTTGAGGATTTCTTGTAGGGTGTTTTAGTATTGGTCCCAGGTAGACACAGTAGTGTAGTCTCCATGTAGGTACTTTGGCCAAATTCAGTGTTGGAGTTGTGTGAGAGTGCCTCTGTGGCCTAGTCTTTGGTCACCTGATGGGTACACTGGGGTATACCATGCTCCTTGACTTGAATGGGTGACCCTGGATGGATTTTCTCTTTTTTCTTTCCTCTTTCCCTGGGTTCCACTGGTGACTCTCCTTCTGTCTATGCCAATGAGTGGTCAGCAGGTCACCTATGAGGTAGTGGTGGTTGCTGGTGTGGCAGTGAACCACCCTTGTGGTGGCAGTTGCTGTGGCAATGGCTGTCACAGACCACTCCTCCAGTGCTGGTGTCTGTGGTAGTGTCAGGGAGTGTTGCTAATGGCACAGCTGCCTGTTGCACTGGTGCCCTCAGCAGTGGCTGGTTCAGCCTCCTATATTACTTTCTGAGATTGCCATAATGTTTTGAATTTTAAATATTAGCCTTTACAAAAAACAATGAAATGAAGAACCAGCTTTGATCAACTGTGCTAAAACTACTTTAAATATGTTCTAAAACTTTGCTATAAAAATTTCCCCACAACATTTTTGACCTATGTAAGAGATACAGGTACTTTAAGAAAGCATTTCTGGAAAGCTGCATTTGGTGTAGTTTATAAGCTGAAGCCAAAGCAAAGGCATTGCTAAGGGAATCTTTTACCCTGGGATACTAATAACTCCAAATATTTCATATAAATTAAGCTAACAGCTACTGAAAGAAGCAGGTTATAAGGGAGAAAAAACTAAAGAGATTTAAAGGAAAAGTACTACCTTCTAATTAGAGAAAAAGACATCAGGGACATGGTAGGAACCCTTTTCCCTCTGTCCCAGCCTTCTTTTCCTAGTAGCTTCCACCCTTTTCTCTTCCCTTTCATTTTCCTTTCTCCACTATGGCAGGTGTGATTTATTGGAGAGCACAACTAGGGAATGGGTCTCCTCACAGAGACCTGCTCTGCCATGGCTTTTTTTTTTTTTTTTTGTAGTAAGAACACAATATAAGATCTACCTTCTAACAAATTTTTAAGTGCGCATTACAATATTGCTAATTATAGGTGCTGTGTTGTACAGCAGATCTCTAGAACTTATTCGTCTTGCATAATTGAAACTTTATACCAATTGACCAACATCTCCCTATTTTCCTCTTTCCCCAGTTCCTGACAACCACCATTCTACCTCTGCTTCTACGAGTCTGACTATTACAGATAACTTATATGATTGGAATCGTGCACTAATTGTCCTTCTGTGAGTAGTTTATTTCACTTAGCGTAATGGCCTCCAAGTTCACCCGTGTTGTTGCAATGACCAGATTCCCTTCTTTTTTAAGGATGGATATTTTTCTATCATATATACATACCACAGTTTCTTTACCCCTTCACCTATCGATGGACATTTGGGTGTTTCCATATCTTGGCTACTGTGAATAATGCTGCAATGAACATGGCAGTGCAGATATCTCTTCAAGACCCTGGTTTCAATTCTTTTGGATATATATCCAAAAATGGGATTCCTGGAGTATATGGTAGTTCTATCTTTAGCTCTTTGAGGAACCTCCAGACTGTTTTCCATAGTGGCTACACCCAATTACATTCCCCCCAACACTATACAAGGGTTCCAATTTTTTCACATCCTCATCAACACTTGTTTTCTTCTGTTTTATTTGATAATAGATATCCTATAGGAGTGAGGTGATATCTCATTGTGGTTTTTATTTGCCTTGTCTCTTAAATAAAGAAACTGTTCTCTAGATGGATGCTGTCCTAGCTGTGTTCTCCAACTTGCTGGGGCATGAGAACCCGAAGCTCCTCCCTTAGAAATTCTGATTCGGTAGGACTGGGGCAAGGCCTGAGAATATGTGTTTGTATCCTAGTGATTCTTATGGGCTGGTCAGTTTGGGAAACACGGCTTCTCTCTCTGGGAATAAGACAGTCCCTGCCCCTATAGTGGGACCAGTTCTGCCTGGCTAAATTCAGTTCAGCAAGGAAAGTATTAACAATTGAAGCTGCAGCATTCAGCTCCCTTTCCAGACAGCTTTATTTGTCTCACTGTTAAATGTTTTAAGCTTAGCTGTAGAATAAAAAGTTGACTTTTTGTATTTAATGCACAAATATAAGCATACTTACCACCTATTTTAGGTAACCAACCAATGCCTGATTTATTACTTTTAATGTGGACTACGGCATGACCATTGGCCAGCACTTCCATCTGGTGGCAGCACCCAAGTTTTGCTTAAGGCATGACAACCTTTTCTGATCCTCTTAATAATCTAAACCAACCACTGAAAATCATTATTTCACAGCCACTGGCAGCAAGCAAAATGGCCAAAATAAACCTACCATCTGTGCCATCCACTGACCTTCCACTCAACGCAGATGTTTAATGGGTTTGTACAGAAATCTACTGTGATCTAAGACCTTTTCCTTTAAACAGTCACATGTCTCAAATAGGGCTGCAGAGACATTTCTGCTTAAGCCAAAATCCACATACATGTCATCCTCACAACCCTATGGAAAAATGAAAATATGTGTCTGTTATTTGTGACTTTATTATACTATAGTTTGAAGAGTCAACCGATTAGCCATGGTCTAGTGAAGACTACAGATTGAATAGCCCAAGGTAATAGTGGCCATTGGTATCACCCATGTGTTGCTGAATTCAGTGGCCTACTGTGTATTCTCTATAAACAGCTTGTCAAAAATAGGAAGGTACTTCAAAAAGTTCATGGAAAGATTAGTATTATCTTTTAATTCTATTTTTCCATGAACTTTTTGAAGTACCCTCATACAAAGACAGTAGTCCCACATCGTGCTCACTTACTGCTAACCTTAGGAATACTTACAGCAAGGGCCTGCTCTTAGAAAAGCAAACATCCCTTATGCAATATCAGGATGTCTCTACTCATGAAATTACAAATTACTCATGAGTGTCATGGTTCTGAATTCTATTTTTAAATTCTGACCTTGACCTTATTTGCCAATTGCTAAGTCCTATTTGACTGCACAGAGCTTTTCAATTACTTGACTAATTTCACATATTTGCTTATATCTCTTGGCAAAATGAGCAAAAATTATTTGATGATAACATTCCTATGAGCCAGCCATCATTCAAGAATGGATTCTAGACAAGCTTCTCTATTAGTTTCCTAGAGATGATACTTGAATTTATGTTATCGTAAAGGAAATAGCTGAGATGGGGAGGAAAGAAATTGTGTATATAAGAGAAAAATTAGCAAAGCATCATTCATTTAACAAAGACAGAAACTCATTCCAAATGTTCCTTGACCAAGCAGCTATTTCCTTAGAACCTTGATTTTAAAGAAGGACACCAAAATGTCACTGCTTCCTCCAAAGTATGTAGAAAGGGCACTGAACAGAAGATAGGGGTCCAAGTGGGTTCTCATGCTGATTCTCCCTGGGTCTAACTTTGGACAATCATTTCACTTCTCTGTTTCAGTTCCATCTTTGGTCAAATGGGGTAATAGAAACATATGTCCTACCTCACACAATAGCTATGAGGAATAACTACGTAGCTTGCCTTGAACATAGTAGAGCAGGCTCTAGTAATGTGAACAAGTTCTCCATAGTGACAGTATTGGTAGTAACTTTTATTATTCCATAGAAATGAACCAAGTCTCTACCCCAAAACTCAACTAACTGCAAGTCCCAAATGCACAGATTCAAGCAGAGTATTTGAATACCCTATTTGGTATAGGGCAGAAAATTATATTCCAAGGGAAATGAGAAATAATCTAACATAGTCCAACAACCCCATAGTGGAATGCCCTGAGAGAGGCTGGTTTTCCACGAGCTCCGTTATGCACCAGGGCTCTGGCCACTGGGCCTGCTTCTACCACAGAATGTCTATGTTTCTAATCAAGCCAAATAAAAGCCGGTGGTAGCCCACTCCTTCCACAGACAAGACCACATACGTAGAAAGGCAACATTCTGAATTATTCATAGTAGTGGTCCTGCAAGCACAGAACCAAATGGCAGAGATAAATGCTCTGGGGGCTTACCTACCCTCATTTTCTTCTTGATTTCTTCCTCACTTCTTCTTGGCAAAGTCAAATAGTAAACAAAAATGATAAACATGTAAGACTCTGTTGATAGGCCTGTTGGACTCAATCACACTATTTAAGAAAGCAAGCATACATTAAGATTGAGAGTAAATTTAATGTATTATTTCTAGTGCATTTTTTTCCTTGCCAAGACAGAATAAAACAGGTGAAAAAATAATAAAACTAGGAGACTGAAGTACATTATACAAGTTACATACAAATCCACACATAATCCAAATGTGCTGAGAGATCTTCTTGACAAAGAAGATTTCATCCCGAGCTGCTGCTAGTTTTGAGGCAAGGGCGGTATGTGCCATGGCCCACAAGCCTGTGGTTTCAAGCAGGTAGAGTGTGATCATGAGAAGTTACTCTGTTAAATGTCTATTTCAAAGTCAAGCATGCCATGGCAGCAACAATCATTATATTTAATGAAGGTAATCCAAACCTAGGAAAAGACACTGTGGAAAAATACAAAATATTTACTCTACCTAACTAACCTAGCAACTCCTGCTGAACAACATATATGCTGCATATTTATGAGTTGTAGCTTACTGTTGTGAAAAATTCACTACAGATTAAAACCAAACATTGTATGTTACATTTAGTATACAGCATGCCTTTTCTGCTCAGTACAAGAAAAATCTACTACCTAGTAGAAACTAGGACTAAGGACCTGATAGCAGCAATGTGGCAGGATGTCATTCTTTTTTTTTTCTCAAAAAATAAAAAATGAAATAACATTGTTGCATATCCCATTGAAACCCCAGTCCAATTCAAAATTCATCTTCAGAGCTGTCGGCTAAGAGCATTACTCGATCTTGCATGCTGTTGAACTCTCTCTGCTAGAGAAAGAAAACAGAAAAGCATTAAACTTTTTTTGCTGCAAAGCAAAGCTGAGAAACAGGCCCATTTTAAAAGACACACTAACAAATGAAGCTGAGGCAGCTACAACAGCTAATCCAAACCCCTGGTTACGTCAATACCATTCATGCACCATTAAGCCCCATGTGCTTTATTCAGCAAATTAGATAAGGAAAGAATGTTCTGGAACTGGTCAGGTTTTGCTATTGCTGGTGCCATACCTTTCTTTTATGCCTTTTGAAGCCATTTCTCCTTCGGCGATTCATCACCTTAATGCTGTAGAGTGCTCCCAAGATGAACAAGGCTCCCGCTATCCCCACCCCTATGGGCACCAGCATCCCAGACATGTAGCCAGCCTGCCGAGGAAAGGAAATGCACATTAGGGGGCTAAACAGACCACAGCCCTGGGCTCCTCCTTTCTGCTGGATGGCGGTAGGGCTTTAGACAATTTGAATTCTCCTGTCTGCTTTGTTCCAAAATAAAATACAACCTAAAACAGTTATCTTTTAGGGAGAAGGAAATAAAGAGACAGATATTACTATTTTTAGATATTTCAAATACTTAGAAGTAAGTATTGGAATAAATCAGCCAGTCCTAGTGGCACCTCCAGGCACTTGCTTATGCACATTTGTCAACATCAGTTTTCGGTGACAGAAATATAATCTGTATTAAACATAGATGAAGTAAGCTTCTGAGAATTCCAGGACTATGAAAATGCTATAAGTTGGAAACATCAGCCAGAGTCGAGCTTCAAGGGATAGAGTGACCCCTGGAATACTGTGTTTCTTGGAGGTGTGTTGCTCTCACTCACTCTCTCTCTCTCTCCCAGTTGCAATACAGTAAGAAAGAAAAGAGGAAAGTGCCTGTGAGTAAAAGGTGGGAGTTTCTAGAAACATCAGAGAAGAAAAGGGCCTGAAAATGGAAAAGGAGGAATGTTAGATATTGGAGCAAAGGCAGAAAAGAAAAGCACAAGGAGAGAGTGAGCACATAAAATGGATAGATTAATTTCTACAGGTATAATAATCTGCCCAGTGGACAAGACCAAAGTTGGGGGAATTCTGAGTGACCCTAGCCCCAAAGAAAGGAAGTGGCAGAGAAGGACACAAAGATCACTGCCAACAACATTGGTACCTCCAAAAGAACTTGGTGGTATCAAACCCATGTGTGTCTCCAATGTCCCCAAGGTATCACTATGGATATCTCGGTCCCAAGAGAGCAGGATGATCCCCACGTGTCCCTCAGCTTGAGTAAGTAGCTCAGGACTGACCCAAGCACAAGGCAAGGTGAACTGCATCTTGGTCAATAAGACACCCATGAGTAGAGGGCTATGTACTAACCTACAGCCCTTTCATGGGCTTTGCCTCCCAAGCAGCCCCTCCTAGAAGCCTACGGAGACAAAATACATAAACAATTTAAAGTCTGTAATAAGTACTTTAGATATAGGCATCGAGGGGACCATGAGTCTACTCATTTTTTACTATTTCTAAAATTTCTAATATAGCACAAACTATTTCTACTATCTTTCAGAATGAGCCAAAAACAGAGAGGGACAGAGGATAAAAGTTTTCCCAAAAATGCTGCTGAAGTATGCAGGCTGTGAAGCTTCCCAACATTTCTAGCAGTAGATCGAAGGAACAGTCAAGACCATACAAAACCGCTGCCCCCTCCTCTTGTGCTCAGCGGCTTCCTCACTCGTTCTGTCTTTCACAGTCTTAAGTCAGGGCAAAATAGGGAAATTTTTCCATTAATTTGAGAACAATAACATTGCTCATCAGGATACTAAGTATTTTTTCCCAAGAAGCAAAGCTCAGTCATTTTTCACCACATTAATATGCTTTGCAAAAGCTGAAACTTTTTCTAAAGTTCTTCCAGATCTACTTAAGGCTTATAAAAACTCTGTAATTTTCCACATGGGAAAACACTGGCCAATAGCAAAGTTTCAGTGTTCTCACCAGAACTGTGGATGTCTTTTTAAAAGCACCATTCTTGGTGCATGAAAACATATATACATGTTAAAATATGATAAATTTTAAGCCCAATCAATTAAGTTTTTCAGAGCTGCACATTCAGAATATGATATTCAAGCTTTGGAAAGTCAACTTGATCAACCCTCTGTGGGCCTTCTTGTGCTATGTAACTTAATCCCACACCAATAACATGAATATTCCAAAATGTCACTCTTTCCATATCTCTTATTGACACATTTAGACTTCTTGTTTCCAGAGGTTTAAATCATGTAGATTTCACAAAACTTCAGTTACATATCTTTTTTGTCCCCTCCTTTTTTTTTTTTTTTTTGGCATGTCACTCTTTCCATATCTCTTATTGACACATTTAGACTTCTTGTTTCCAGAGGTTTAAATCATGTAGATTTCACAAAACTTCAGTTATATATCTTTTTTGTCCCCTCCTTTTTTTTTTTTTTTTTGGTGGCATCTGTCTTTCTTTGAAATTACAAGTAAATTACAAGATGGAAGCAAAACAACCCATTGTCTTCAAATATAATTTACCCATTCTTTCATCAAAACTAAGGAAAAATAAGCTCTTTAAGAATTACCCATGACTTGATTTCTTTAGAAATGAAAATAAGTAAGCATATATGTTGGGAAAATAGAATAATTAAATCAGCCTCCCCCCCACCTTAAGGATGATTGGAGGTGGTGTGGAACATTCTTTGTAAGCAACCTGGGGGGAGTGAAGTTAGTGCACTTGCACGGTGCCATGGCTTGGCTGGCATCTGCCTTGGGCGTCCGCCACGTGCAGCCATGCTCTCTAACCTACAGCATCCAAGGACCTGTTTGCCGGTTACCTAGCTCGTAGACCTGCATGTGAGGGGTCTGGTGACCCAGCCTGGCATGTGAAGGGTTTGTGACCCAGCCTGTGAACGAGCTTGAGGGGTCTGTGAGCTCCAGACCCAGCCCTAGCTCGACAATTGGCCCAGTCAACAAGATTATGGGCAGGTAAAAGAGCTCGACAATTGGCC